CTTGTGTAATTACGATATCATGCTAAAATGAAGGAAAAACTTAGCCTTAACATACCTGTTCCTAGAATTTATTTGAACAAAATGAAGCTTTCTGCTTCTTGCAAAATACGAACGAACCTAGGCTTGGATTGAACAAAATTGTTGTTGTTCTTTGAATTCCAATCGAACTTTGGCTAAATAATTTGGACGAAAGCAACTTCTGTTCCAAGATCTTGGATTTTAAAATCCAAGGCAGAATGTTGTTTAACCTAAGGAATTTGGACGAAATGGATTTGGCTAAGGAATCTCTTTCCAAGTTAATCCAAGGCAGAATGTTGTTTAACCTAAGGAATTTTGGACGAAATGGAAATACTTCTTGGCTTAAATGCCAAAGTAATGCTTCTTCTTTTCACGTTAGTCCATGGACAAAATGTAAAATGATCTTAAGTGTAATGTTTTTCATTTTAAAGGATAAAGCTCACAAAAAGTCTTATCTATAATTTGGACTTTGACACATGTAAAGGTGATTGATGAATCACCTTAAAACTAATAAAGGGGCTGCCACGTTCTCAGGGTATAATTGATTAAATTTTGTCCGCTTATTAGTTAGCTGGGTAATATTTTGTTACCCGGTAATTAACCAATTACCCGTATAATTTAAAAACTGCCCCAAATTACTTAAAATTTTATTTATTTTAATATACTTCATATATATACTTTATATATTATATTACCGTGGCCATATGGTACCTTGCATGGTATTAGTTCATAATTATCGGGTATTATCGCTCGATCCGTATTTTATTCCAAATTGACCACTCCCAACGAAACTCGTTTTCGTTAATCCGTGTACCCCTTTATCCTTCATAACACTTATTTATCGCTTGTTATAAATAACGTAAGTACGTTAACGTCAAGATGATCTGATCCTCGAGTCTACGTTGGCTAACTGAAAACGAAATTTTACGTACGAAAACGCGAGATGTAACAGTAATGTTGCTAAAATATTTTTAAAATAATTCCTTTTTGTTTGATATGTTATATATAACCATAACAAAAAAAAGTCTTATTTGATAATTAAATAATTCATAAGAAAACAACACACATTAATTAAAACTTGATACGAATTGGGCGGGTTGGGCTATGACCCAAATTTTAGCCCATCTTGACCAGTCCATCTCAGCCCAAATAACTTTTGGGTGGGTCATTTATTGACTCATCCCATTTTGACTCGCCCAAAATCAGCTCAACCGCCCATTTGACACCCTAAATATAAGTCAAACACATTTTTCAAAAGATCTCTAACATGTATATAGCTCCATTCAGTTAAAAGGCCTTTCACTACATTAATAATGTTAAAAAAAATCATTAAAATGAGCTCCTATTTAATTGGAAACTGTATAATATGCCCTTTAAATACTTGAGGAGCAGGCAAAATTAAAGGTTCCATATGGAATTTAAGGTTACAACTCTAAGTTCAAATCTTCCTACGAACTTAAGAAAAACTTGAGAAGTGCTTAATATCTACATCCTTACTTTGGTGGAAGCAGTGTTGTCAAAGGCTATAATGTCTATAATGATCGAAGCATGGTAGAATTCATTAGTACACTGCACTTGTGACCTGTTCCATAAACTGCAGCCGGTTTTGCTGCTGTAATAGGGAACTCGGGTCACTTTTTTATTTGGGGGTTAATTTTGTAGTGTGCAGCAGTGTCTTAGCGCTTGGCTCCTCACACAAATAAAATTTACTTCCCAAAATGTTGAGCAATCAAGGGGACTCTTTTTGGGCCCTTAGAACCACTGATACCCCTGCCACAAACAAGGAAAATAGTAGAGAAAAGCAAGCAGATAGAGCATATCAGAGCTTGATGTTACCCTGCTGCCAATTCTGCAGCTTTGCTCACACTAGAATCATGCAATTTCTTCACCTCATCCGTGCTATCCCAGGTTCCAGTCTCAACTTTCTTCCCTTTTTCCAACTCTATATCACTTCCATCTACTTCAGAACTAAGTCAAAAATCTGCTGAACCTCTTTAAGCTTTCCATCGTACGAAGACCTTTGATCAGATGGAAGTTTTGCTTTTTTTCGGTTGAACAGCATCACATAATGGTTGGACAATGCCACCAGCTCCTGTGAGCAAATCATATGATCAAACTTATGCTTTTCAAATGAATAAATAGATAAGGGACCTCAAAATGTAAAGAAAGCCACTAGTATTAGTAGGAAGAGACCTCCAAATGCTCGGGACCACCATAAATATAAAAGCATCGGTCAAATGTGACTTCCTCAAAATACTGATCTTCATCTATTTTCCCTTCAGCATCTTTGGAGATCTTGTCAACATTAATACCAGTTTCTGCAATCAGAAGATCCATAGTTTCTCTCCCCAGCAGCTCAATCACTTCCATTCCTTTAGCAGTGAAAGTTTTTCCAGTCTGCAGAAAGGTTCAAATATAACTAACAGAGCTGAAGACATGGAAAAAAGAAAATCAAATCTTGAGACAACCTCTAGTATCGATGGTCCAACGGAACCGGTTGTGGCAGGTAAACCACCATGCTGAATTGATTCTGCAATATCTACAGCTGAATTCTCAAGCCTGAAATTATAAATACAAAATATCATTGGCTTAGCAAATTCAGCTGTGCCACATGATGGAACGCCCAGGAAATGAATCAAAACTGAACATGGCTGCAGGGCAACCAGTTCTCGTGCTTATTGGAAAGTTTCTTCATTTTCAGCTTTCCTTGATGTAATTGTGCGTGCATGGGGGCAAATCATTAAGTCATGTGTCATATTTTATGATGTTACACCATGCTACCGCTATCCAATAGCACATCGGAACATTTAAGTTAAAGTTTAATCCCCAATCATCTGAAACCTCCATAAAATCAATTGGTACATCATTGCTTCTTAAACACCCCATGATGCAGGAATAACTGCTTAAACCCAGTTTAAAAGGCTGCTCCAATCTAGCTTTGTAAACTTCCTGAAGTGCGGACTGAAGAATGACACAATTATTTGACAATTCAGATATTGGTAGACATACTTGTGGACTAAATCTGAACCTCCTTTGATTGTGTTTCCTAATGCTTGCCAAGCTCCTGAAGCAAAATTCTCGACTGAATGGTCAATAACTTTCAAACCCTGCAAATTACTCTAGCATGGTTAAAAGCATGGCCATATCAAACAAATAAAGCAAATTTACCTCTACAATTAAGATAATTCTCTATAAATGGTAGAAAAAGGGGATGGGAGGGCCTCACATGCTTATAAAACCTTGCAAAAGAAATACATCTCAATGTGTATCAATTGAACTAACATCTAACATCTGTTTAATATCACTTGACTGGCCAAGTAATGAATCTTCACTAGCTTTCTCTAATTTTTCTAGAGCAGCCTTGCGTCTCTTGTCACTCTCGTCTCCAGTTTCCACTTCACCAGTAGATATTTCAGAATCGTCCTTATCTGAGGCGTCAGAGTCTACCAATAGAGCCACCTGGGAATTTAAGGTCATCTGTCTAAGAGTATTTTCCTTCCATAATGTTGAAAGAACAAGTAACCCAAGCTTGTGCGACAAATAATCAAGATCAAGAAGGATAATAACAGGAAAATGTATATGGGGCTTGAATTTTGAGACCCTTACTTCAGTCAGAAGGTCTCAACTCATTTTATTGAACTAAGCTGTATTAACAGACTCTAGATCCTATAAAAAAACAGAAGGTGGGAAAGGAAAAATAACTCAATTTAGATGGCATCCCCAATGAATGCAATCTAGTCATAGGACCTTAAAAGAGAATTCAAGCTGCAGTACTGTAACCAAGCTCCAGCATTTAGATGAGCCTCTTTCAAACACAAGAACTAGCTAACATATGACAACAAAACAAAATCTGAATGTAAGGCACCTATCAACTTTATTTACCGAGCATTTGACAGTGGTTTTGATGATATAACAAAAACACGTAGTATAGATTTAATCAGTTCAAGGGATCTTTGCCTTCATGGAAAACCACCTAGCCCTGGAACAAGTTTCCTCTCGATACTACTGTTTCATTGCTAATGAAGATCTGAAACAATGGGCATCTTGCCTAAAGGAAGACATCAGCTGCTGGGCTAGCATAACTTAATAGGTTACCAGAGGTCCACCAAAATCCCGTTATAATTGTTCTCCTCAAGTTTCAACATGGCTTACCAAACTATTCCTAATATCGACGTTATTATATTACTGACATACATAGGTGAAGGATGTCATAGTAGCAATTAAAATATTGCACTTATGATAAAGAATACTTTGTCATTGCAGTGTGTAGTTAGGGAAAACTGAAAACCTAGACATGCGACACCAAAAGATGACAAAATGCAAGTAACACACAATTAAGCAAAGAGCAATATGAAACGTCCATAAGTTGCATAACCTATCGATCAATCAACTATCGACTAAGTGTCAATTCCAAATTAGTTATGGTCTGCTACATGAATCGTCTATATCCATTGTACTCTATTAAAGCCTATTTCATTCCTATAGAAGAGAAAATCATGCTAATGGGTTTTGTTAACAAGCAAAGAAGAGTACCATGCGTTACAAACGGAGTATTCACCACGCCACTTTCAAAAGGAGAGACACATAAAATCCCTTAGTCAGATATTAGATCAGTTAAATACTTGCTTTGCCAGAAATTAAAAATTACTGTCATTCAAAGTTTATTCACACGAGGTGAGCGACATCATCAGCTTCCAATCATCAATGAGTCAATCAATCAACTATGCCTCAGTCACAAACTAGTCGAGTTCAACTACGCGAATCATTTACATCCCCCCCAATACTCAGAGTTTGTCTTTAAAAAAGGCAGAATGTACAAAATGAACTTACTATTACATTTGATTCGACGCTGCATTTTTCTTAGATTCTATTTAGAAAAATGATACTACAAAATAGATAATGAGCTACATTTATTTATGCAAAAAACAATGAGAAGTACATTGCGGGATATCTCTTCAGCAGCAACAGTAGCAGCCTTCTGAAGGTCCGTAAGATAAGAAAACGCAGAAAATCCCCAGCCACCGCCCCATCCTCCTCCACCGCCGCCGTCTCCCGGCGGAGGAGGTGGCTGCGGTGTTGACTCAGCAGCTAAAATTGGTGTTTCTTCTTGTGGCGTTTCCACCATCTCATGATTCGTCGTTTTGTCTCCCATTTTTCCGTTAGAGAGATTTTGAACTGTTTTAATTCTCCCTTATATGAAGGAACAGAAACTTTGAAGGGTTGATAGTAACAACTAACAACCAACAACACGACGCCGTATTGCTCCAACATTTGGTAGACTAAGGGGTGTTCGTAAAAAACCGAGCCAAACCGACCAAAAAAAATACTTTTAGGTTTGGTTTGGTTTTAATCAAAAAATAACCGGAAAAAATCAAACCAAACTGACTATAAAAGTAGCTATTTAAATTTATTATTATACCTATATATATGTATATTTTTATAGAAAGTTTCTAAAATTTTATGGTACATATTAGTCATTTGTATTTTTAGTCTAGTTCTTTGTTATTATAATAATCTAATTCTTTGCATTTACATTCTAATTTGATTGGTAGTTTTCTTTTGTTAAGTAAACGAATTTATTTCATGTTATAAATAATCGATTTTTAATTGAGTACTTAAATTATTCTTTACTATTTGATTCAATTATCATCAATATATCTTGGTAAATGATAGATTTCTCAAAGAATAATTGATTTGATAGTGTTACATTGAAAATGCAGTCGTCGGAATATGTGTTTGGTAGTGTATGTCTCATATTTAAGAAAAAAACTGATAAATAACCGAAAAAACCAACAAAAACAGACAAAACCCGAATCGATAAAATACCGACTTAACTGATTTGGTTTGGTTCCAATATTTAAAAACTGACTAACTTGATTTGACTTCTTTTTAAGGAAAAACCGACCCAAATCAAACCATGAACACCCCTAGTTAGATGTTGGGCTTTCAGTTTGGTACACATCGTGTTGCCCTGTGTGATGATGAGACGACATCGTATTAACATTCTTTGACACGGATTTTTTGGAAAAAGATTAGAAATGTACTTTTCTTGAGCTTAAGTTGTATAAAACCGATACTAATAGCATATTTGGTCAAGCTTCTTTTTGTCAAAAATATTTCTTTTCAAAGTTAAAGGTATTTGGTCAAGGAAAAAAGTTATTTTAAGTAGAAGCAAAAGCAGATTTTGATAAAAAGGAAAAAGTAGTTTATCCCCAAAATTATATTTTTGAAAATCACTTTTGAGAAAAATACACTTAAATACACTTTTTATAATCTTGGCCAAACAGTAATTGATGGTTAAAAATATTTTTCAAATTAATTAGCCAAACACAAACTGCTTCGCGCCAAAATACTTTTGAAATAATGTGATTTTAGAAACTTGGTCAAACAGGCTATAAGTTATTGAAACAATATCTACAGGTAGGGATCGCAACAGAGTAGGATGGATGCGAGGTGGCTGGATGCAATGTGGGCAGATGCGGAGCTAGGAAATCGGGACGATTTTTAATTTTTCGTGTGCTAATATCCACGTCATCTTTATAAATTCGAACGACGGGCTCCAAATCGCCTAAAATTTTGTATGCCCATCAGAAACGACCTAATGAACAATGCTCATCGATTCGCTATGATTGTCTATATTTTTGGGCATTTTAGGGCCCAAAAAAAAGAACTCAAGACGATTTTTAATTTTTCGTGTGCTAATGTCCGCGCCATCTTCATGAATATGGACGACGGACTACGAATTACCTAAAAGTTTGTGGGTCTATTAGAAATGACCTAACGTACAATTTTATTGCTTTGTCATAATTGTTCCTCGTTTTTAGGCATTTTAGGGCCATAAAAGAGGAATTCAAGATAATTTTCAATTTTTCGTGTGCTAACGTCCACGCCATCTTTATGAATTTGGGTGACGAGCTCCAAATCACTTAAAATTTTGTGTGCCCATCAGAAACAACCTAATGAACAATAATCATCGATTCGCCATGACCGTTCCTTATTTTTTGGCATTTTTATGGTCATAAAACATAAATTTAGGATGATTTCCGATTTTTCTTGTGCTAATGTCTACGTCATCTTCTTGAATTCGGCCAACAGGCTCTGAATTGCCTAAAATTTTGTGGGACCATTAGAAATGATCTAATAAATAATAGTCATCACTTTGCCAAGACTATTCATTATTTATTTTTTTGGTGTTTTAGGGCCATAAAATAGGAATTCAGGACGATTTGCAATTTTTCTGTGTGTTAATGTCCATACAATCTTCATGATTTCGGGCAACAGGCTTCGAATCACCTAAAATTTTGTGGGACCATTAGAAACGGCCTAATGAATAATAGTCATTGCTTTTCCATTACGTTTCCTCGTTTTGGCATTTTAGGGCCATAAAACAGGAATTCTGATGATTTTTAATTTTTCGTATACTAATGTCCCGCCATCTGCATAAAGTCGGGCAACGAACCCCAAATCGCCTAATGTATTGTGGCCCCATCAGAAGTGACCTAATGAATAATAGTCATTGCTTCACCATGATCGTTCCTTATTTATTTTTATTTTTTTGGCCATAAAACAGGAACCAAGATTATTTTAAATTTTTCGTATGCTAATATCCACGCCATCTATATGAATTTCGGCGACGGACTCTGAATTGCCTAACATTTTGGCGGCCTATCAGAAACGACCTAATGAACAGTAGTCATTACTTTCGCAATGACATGTCCTCGTTTGGTGTTTTAGGGTCATAAACATGAATTAAAGACGATTTTCCAATTTTCATGTGCAAATATCCATATGGCTTCATGAATTTGGGCGACGGGTTCCTAACTACCTAAATGGGCCCATCAGAAATGATCTAATGAACTATTTTTATGGTTTCGTCATGATTGTTCCTCGTTTTTTGGCGTTTTAGGGCCATAAAATAGGAACTCAAGACAATTTCGATTCTTCGTGTGCTAATGTCCACGCCATCTTCATGAATTTGGGCGACATGTTCCGAATCCTCTAAAATTTTATGGGCTGATAAAAAATGACCTAATGAACAATGATCATTGCTTTACTGTGACCTAATAAGTGTGTGTGTGTTGGCATCTATTTAAGTTAATTCTTGTTTGGGAGAAAGATACGTCGTGTAACCTCTCGATGATGACCCCATGTATATTAGTGTAAATCAAAACATGTTGCCTTCTTTGATACACTACTAGAAATCCGGAATTTAGCGACCAAAATTTTGCAACCAAACTTGGTATATCCAGATTAGCGACCAAAGTTGGTCGGTAAAGGGGAGAAAAATATTTTATATTTATTTTATATAAATTACTGACCAATGTTGGTTGGTAAAGTGGTCAACAGGTTGACCCAGTTAGTCAACATTGTGTAGTCAAAGAAAATTTCACATTACCGACTGTGGGACCCAGTTAAATTTTTTTAATAGTTATATTATTATTTAAAATATTTTATAAAATATAAAAAAAATTTATTTAAAATTACCGACCAAAGTTGGTCGGTTAATACAGGGGAAGCCTTTAGCGACCAACTTTGGTCGCTTTTTTTTAATATATGGAAAGTAACCGACCAACTTTGGTCGGTTATGTGGTCAACATTGGTCAAAATTTAAATCACTTTTATATTTACTATCTAAATAATATAAAAGTAATCCGTTAACACTTTTGTAATACAAGGGATGAATACACTAACATATACTATAACATACTATATATGTAGTTAAAGTAGTACAACGAAGCGTGTTATATATATAGGTGAGACGTTTTATTTTTAATATTCAATAATGCATATGAGTAAGTTATAAGTCGATGAATCAATTTACAAATAGATATATTTGATGATAAATTATATATACTAACTAGGATCTTCACATGTCTATCAATCCCTAAAAGAACCCGACCCTTATCCATATAGATATAAATATAGGTGAGACGTTTTGTTTTTAATATTCAACGATGCATCTGAGTAAGTTATAAGTCGATGAATCAATTTACAAACAAATATATTTGATAATAAATTATATATACTAATTAGGATCTTCCGGGTTCTTTTAGGGATTGATAGACTTGTGAAGATCCTAATTAGTATATATAACTTATCATCAAATATATTTGTTTGTAAATTGATTCATCGACTTATAACTTACTCAGATGCATCGTTGAATATTAAAAACAAAACATCTCACCTATATCTATATCTATATGGATAAGGGTCGGGTTCTTTTAGAGATTGATAGACTTGTGAAGATCCTAGTTAATATATATAATTTATCATCAAATATATCTGTTTGTAAATTGATTCATCGACTTATAACTTACTCANCTAATATAATTTTTTGTAAAGATTATGCTTATAATTTATAATTATTTATAATAATTGTAGTTAAATAAAGATAAAATATATAGTTTACCCATTGACCTTGCACCCAAATCCCTGTTACACACCTCTCGACCATGGACAACCTTTTACACACCCAACCTTTTAGAAGTGTGTCTAATACACACTATTTTTTTTCTTGACCAATTTTCCAAAACATGTGTAATTCACGCTCCAATCAGATAGTGACACGTGTCATTAACTTATTAAAAAAACCTTTAAATTATAATTAGATCCCATCTTCTTCATTAAATCCATCACCATGGCTGCCTTCTCTTCGATCGACCACCATCAAATCTTACCTTCCATCTCCGACCACTATTCTTCAATCAAAAATCAGCTATGTGAAGTTCTCTACTACCAGCGCAGAAGCATCCCTAACCTCACATCTCCATTAAAATTATTTTTCTTTCACTCTAAAAGAATCCCATAATAATAATCTGGATTAACTTCTTTAAGTAAGAAGGCCTACACATTTACTGTCGAACTTATTATCTTTCCGCTAAAATCTTTAAATTCCATTTTATTCTTCATAAAATCAAGGATGGCAAGAACCACCATAGAGGGCATAGGAGGACTGCCGCTGGCGGCCAAGGCGATGGCTAAACTAAAAAAGAGTTGCAGAGACCAGTGAAGACTCTAATTAAAGACAACATCGACCATAGATTCACCTTCTCATCAACCAATCTCCATTAATTTGGAGAAACCTAAAATATCTCTCTTCCAAAAAACACTATCTCTCTCTACCTTTAAAATTTCATAGGCCATA